GGTTCCCTCATGTGTGAAATAGGGAATTGCAGGTCCCTAAGTGGTGTGTTTTGGCCTCAAAACCAGGTCCATGCCACAGACTGGCAAGGAGAGATGTGCTCAAGGGAGGTGCATGGTCTGCCTGGGGACATGGACCACTTTGGGTGGGTTTTGGGGACATTCATGACCTCAGCCAGTTCTCAATCTACCTCTCAGTGACCCAGATCCCTGTGTGAAATCCCAGAGCAGCAGGTGCCAGCTCAGGGGCATGGAGGGATGGCAATTCCATGGGATGGAGCTTGTGGCAGTGCATTAAAATGAGGATAATGGAAGATCTCATCAGCAGGCTGCAGGGGTCACGCTCCAAATTACTTGCAAAGGACTGTAGAGACCCTGATGTAATTGATTGTGCAATCAAACCCATTAGAGGGAACATGAACCAGTAATTCTGAAATGGGAATGCGTGAGAGGTGGTGCTTTTATCAGGAAAATGTGGGTAAATCTATGAGAAAAAAAACCCTAAAATGTGGATAGTGTCTGGTTTTTACTCTGAAAAAAGGAGAGAAAATGTGGTCTGGGAAGAGGAATGGGATATTTTGGTGCATTGTGGAAATACCTGATAAAAGCAGGTGGAAGTGGGAATGGGTTTAATACACCTGTGGGAGGTGAGGGAAGCTTGGGATCTGTTTGTGCTGAGAATGAAGAGCTGCCTGGTAATCAGTACCATCCCCTGGTACTTAGGGATGCTCACACAGATAGACACAGTCCTTGTTGTCACCTGGGTGGGTTTGTGTCCCTTTTTACAAATATTATCACAATGAGAGTTTTTCCTGATATTTCTTCTTTTCCTTTCCAGGATTTTTGCTCTTCAAAGACTATTGCATGAACGAGATCGATGAAGCTGTGCCTCAGCTGAAGTTTTATGAGGAGGTAAGAAGGTGGTGGTGGAGGTTTGGGCTGTGCAGGGAGTGAGGCTGGGGAAGGCTGTCCTGGTCCTCCTCAGGCAGGGAATGCTGAGAGGGAAGGAGAGAGTCCATGATGTGTAGCAGTGTGAATATTTAATCAAGTTGCTCATTTGGTACAGTGTATTGCCAGCAGTGTAGATGAGTTCTACCCATTGTTGTTGGGCAGCTCCCTGGGCTGGGAGAAAAGGAGCTGAGGCTGAAGTTGCCAGTGTTGGGTTGCACTCCCAGACACTTCAGGCCTATCTCCAACATCCTTTCACCTGCAGAAAAGCCACCAGAGCAGCAGGAGAGAGGAGGGATGTGGGATGTAATCCTCAGAGATGTTTGGGGAGTCGCTGTGGCAGGATGAGAGGGTGTTCCAACGGGGGATGTGAGGTGCCTTGAGGTCGGTGGGTTGTTCTCCCTCATCACAAGGTACTCCCTGAAGGAGCTGCCACGCACTGAGCCCACGCAGGGACATCCCCAGGGATCCCAAGCTCCGAGGAGCACCTTGTCCTGCCCCAGCCCCACGGCGACGGGGTGGGGAGCGAGTCCCACTCTCCATTCACTCCCTCCCTGCTCCATCTGTGGCACTAAATATAACCCCAGTAATCCCCTCCCAGGTGCTGGGCTCAGTGCAGACATGCACACGCCTGATTGCTCTGGGTTAATTAGAGCTGCTGCCTGGGATAACCTTGTCTGTGCTGCTCTGAGCTGATGATTGCAGTTTCTCTTGCTGGTGGGTTCTCAGCACAGGGAGCTGCTCTCAGCTTGGAGATCAATCCTCAGGGAGACACAGTTCCCTCAGTCACATACCTGCTGTCAATAATCTTTTGCTATCATTTCCATCTTGTTCCACACTGTCAGAAGTAGTCCAAAAAGGCCTGTTGCACCAGATTGTTTAGCAAGGTATTTTTAGCTGCCTCTTTATCTCTGAAACAATTCAAAATTGTATTTTTAGGTTATTAGCAAAGTGTTGCCTCAAAAGAATTTCAGTGCTTTGTCATGTACTTCTGGAAAAATCCCATTACAGATATTTAAAGAGAGGCTCATTGTGTTTTCCTCTGACATTCCGGATCCAGGAGCTTTTCCTTTTTTTTTTTTTTTCTCATGTATTTGATTTAGTTGCTGCATTTATTACATGTAGAATAATTCGAGCACATTGCTCCATTAAAAATGGGTTGATGGAGGAGAGCTCTGTACTCCAGGGATTTCAGATCACTGCAGCTGGAGTCACGATCCGGCATTTAGCAGGATGAGTGATTCATCCTGAGCCGTTTCAGAAGGAAAAGAGAAGGAAGGAAAGAAAAAAGGGGAGAAAAAAAAAAGGGAAAAAGAGCTTTTAAGTGCCTGAAATCCTGTGTGTCCTGATCCCAGTGTTTGAAGAGATCCTTTGCCAGTCCCTTTTCCTGGCAGGCTCCAGGGAGGTGTTGGCTACCTGGTAGCACAGTCCCTTCCCTCGGGGTCAGCACTGGAAGCTGCAGCTGGCAGGGACAGGGTGTGTTTATCGATGGTGACACTCAGCTCTGCCTGTTGCAGGTTTTTTTGGCATGGCACAGTAATGTTCTCGTTAATAAACAGGTGAAATTAGCTCGTGACTGTGGCAGGGTGTGCTGGGTGCGATCACAGTGGAGGTGTCTGATCTCATCACCTCTGTGATGAGTTGTGTTGGGCAGTGTGTGTGTGTGGATGTACTCCTGGTGTGGGAGGAGCAGGCTGAGAGATCCCAGGATCCCAGAATAGTTGGGGTTGGAAGGGACCTCTGAAGATCTTCTAGTCCAACCCTCTGCCCAGGCAAGTTTACCTGGAGCAGGTGACACGGAACTTGTTGTGTTTTAGTTTGTGGCCATTGCTCCTTGTGCTGTCACTGGGCACCACTGAACAGAGTCTGGCACCATCCTGACACCCCTTGGACATATCTGTATGGATTGATGGGATCCCTCTTAGCCTTCTCTGCTCCAGACTAACCAGGCCCAGCCCTGCAGTCTCTCCTCACCAGGGAGATGCTCCAGACCCCATATCATCTCTATGGCCTCTGTTGGACCCTCCCCAGCATCTTGTCCTTCTTTTCCCGAGGAGCCCAGAACTGAGCAGGGCTCTAGATGTGCTCACTGGGGCCGAGTAGAGGGGCAGGATCACCTCCCTGACGTGGTGGCCACACTCTTCCTGATGCTCCCCAGGCTCCCACTGCCCTCCTGCCTGCAAAGACACACTGCTGGCTCAGGAGCAGCTCAGTTGGCTCATCACCAGTGAGGACCTTTGTCTCCTGTCCTGCTCTCCAACCCTTTACAGACCAAAGGGGCTGTGGTTACAGAGCCCAGAGTGAGGGCAGGTGGGAGATGCTGTTGGGGTCCTGTTGTTAGACCCCTCAGTACTGGGGGCAGAGTTAGGTGCTTTACCAACCAGGTATTGAGGGGCAGGAGGTTGTACTCATGACAATCAGATCTGCATCAGACTTCCTCCTGTACTTCTAATCGTTTTGTGTCATTGCATTAATTAAAAGTGTTTCTTGGGCAAAGATGTTTTGAGTCATTTTAATTATCTGTGGGTATCGAGGGGGAAGCAGGCACAGATGGCAGATTGGGGTGGAACTGTTGCCTTATCGTATCAGCAAACAAGGGGAGAACAGCTAGAAAGATACTGAGTTAATTAGTGTTCCACCTTCCCTGGGAGGCTGGTCCCAGTTTGTCTCTCAATAACTGGACTCGATCATCTGGAGGTCTTTTCTAACCTGGATGATTCTGTCATTCTGAGCTGTGGAGGAGATCTGAGCACTGATATTTATTTGGGTCCCATGACCTTACAGGCTGATGCTGAAAAAGTCCTGCAAGTCAGAGCTGAGTCGTTTCCCTAAAGGTCTTGCATGGTTTTTGTGTTCTGTCAGTGCTGCAAGAAC